AAACGGATATGGAGGGGCTTCCGAAGGCTTACCTTCCAATTATAGATAAACCATAAAAGCTGTTGTCACGTTTTGTCAGTCGGTGTTGCTCGTACACAGTAATAAGTCCTTCTGATGAAATTTTTTATCACTTTACAATTTTCATTAGTACTAGCTAATAACTAAAAAGTAACTCACTGTGTCTGATACCGACTGGCTAACATATCAGGAACCGGTTCTTGAATTATTCATGATAATGTTTGCGATACGGTACCTTGTAATTGTGGTGAGCGTCCCTATTTTCGGGATAATTATATTATTAAAGTTTTTTGATAAATTAGTTTCTATATTCTTTAATTTGACATTTTTAATATTTCCCTTCTTTTTCATTTTCTTTTCTTTCTTTTTATTTAATTCTGGCATTGAAATTCTCGATGTACGGGAGCTCACCATGACAGGATAACTTTTACTTTATATATGTTTGTTTGCTCTGAGGAAGGCTCAAAAATGAGTCGAAACATGTATGAATAAAGAAGTTTCACTCTTTATAAGTGTATTATTTGCGCGACGTCTTCTGTGCCCAACTCCTAGTGCCCTTACTCTTTCCAATTCTTAGAAAACAAGAAGCAGAGCACAGATTAGGCTTTATTTTGTCCTCGATATGCGAGACATCTTGCCGTATTTATAATCATGCAAAATGCCGAGCGGTAAACAGCCGTTGTAATGTTGTTACATGTAAGATAAAAATGTGTACGGTATTTTATCATCGAAAAAAAAAATTCAGTCGAGCGAGTTCTGAATCAAACATTAAAAAGTTAATTTTTATATTAATGTAAGAAAATGTATTTTTCTGCATCTAGTATTTCCTCGAGTAGATATTGAATTATATATAACAATGGAATTATATTCTATTATTTACGTATCCATATATGTGTACATATATCTATGTGTAAAATCACATGTTGCAATAGACATCTTTTACCTCTGGATCCGTTTGCATTATTTGTACACTTATACACTATCGAAGGTCATATGACTGTTAATTAAAATAATTTCAAATAACGATTATAACATCACAAGGACGTAAATAAGTTATTATTATCTTCTTCATAAACTTTATTAACATAAGATAAAACTAAGATAGGGAAAATGCGACCTTTTAATTTTCAATATCCAATAATGTGCATCAAGATCGATTAACGTGGTTTTTATAAAGTTCTCTTTTTTTATATATCACAAGTATGGATTCTCATATACAAACAACTTTTTACGCGCGCATCATTGGTCAGTTTGAGATAAATTTCATCTTTTTTTAGGATATTTTTTCTTTTCTTCTCTTTTTAGGAAAAACATACAAACATGGTTAGATACATTTTAAATAACTAAGACGAATCAATCGGCTGGTATCGGTAAAGTAGGAAAATACTCCTGCGCCTTTTTCGCGGCGGAGTATTCCACGTTGTAAACGGGATGGATCACTTCTACCTTATTCGTGAGCCTTCTTCCGATGATTGATTTTATTGGTGAGTTTTGCGCAATCGATAATCCACTAAGAACATAACATGTATGGTATATGTCACGATTTCTGAAAAAAGAAGAGAAAAAAGTTGTCGCATGATTAACGCGATTAAAATTACTCGCCAATGAAATTACATTTATGGTAATTACAGACGCGAAAGAGTGTGATCACATACTTTCCCGGTTTATCCAGAAGACCGCCATGCGGATTCTGACAGCAAGTTAATATATACTCTTGTAAGGCCTCTTGGTTGAACAGCCAATGGTCGGAATTGTTAAACCCCTTTCCCTGCGTCGACAAAATAGCGGCGATCAATGGGAACGTCCCACCTTGCCAGAAAGAATAGCACCCGTCCACCAATTTGTTCGTACGTCCTTGGAAACCGCCTTCCAAACGCATCTGCTTATTTACAATCCACCTCTGCGGAATGGTAGGGATGTGAACGTGAAGATCTTATTATGATCGTAAAGAGGAACTTACCAATAACTTCGGTAAATGGCAAAGCTCTGTTTTTCCAAGCATTACAAGCGCTGCCAAAGCGCAATATGCATATCCACCGTGAGCCTCCATTCCCGGACAACCGCCGAAACCACCCTCCCATGTTTGACATTTGGCTATCCACTCGGCGGTACTCTTGAACATATCCGGCGTGTACACATTTGTCAACTTGGCAGCAGCAAGGGCACAATACGCCCCACGTATGTCTACCTCGCCGTTTTCGTGCATACAGAAAGAACCGTCTTCTCCGCGTAAGGACGCTAGGAACCGTTTCAAATTCTTTCTGAAATTATAATAATTTTAATTTTTAAGCAAAAAAACCCATCTAAATTTTAAAAATATACAAAATATTTTTAAAACAATAGCATTATTACGAAAAAAATTATATTGAATTACTTACCTATCTATCACATTGTATGCCTCTTGTGTGCCAATGGTGCATAATGCGTTCACTGCTGCATATGTAGATGCTAAATGTGGATATTGTCCTGGACCTCCGCCGAAACCACCTGTCGACGATTGACATTTGGCCAGAAAGCCAGCTATCTTGGAACACTCCTCACTTTCCAATCGTTCTCCTAATATCGCAAGTGAATGCAATATCCAGAAGCACAGCCATGGTCTACTGGAGTCCAAACACTATATGATATTGTTACAAACACTCAATAAGTTCCTTGTTACAAGAAGAATGAAATTTTTCCTCAATCATCTCCAAAAGCAATGGCTGCTTTCATCAGAAAGCAGCTTTGCAACTATTGTAAAATTTTTGCATACGATTAGTTTATACATTTAGATCCAGTGAGGAACTAAGGACAAGATCAATCATATTAAAGAATTTGGCAAGAGTTGCAAAGCTGCTTTTTCTGCTGAATATATTATAGTCAATATTACACATAATGCTGTTTGATATTAAAAGTAGTGGATACCTCGTAAGTGTCATTTAAATTAGTGATTGCTTTCTTCAAGAACTGGATGTGTTTGGGCCTAAGTAAAACAGGATCCCCTTCTCTGCATGATCGGTAAAACTTGAGCACAATTTCCTCGACGCGAGCCTGAAAAGATACAGTGGAAAGGTATTTCCAACTACTGTATTGTACAAATTTTAAATTAAAATAAAACAATAGTAATTTGTGATTCCAAGAATAAGTCAAGTACAAATAAAATATCTATGTGAGTCTCTGCAGTTGTTTGTGCATAAATTATGTACAATTACAGCTCATAAGTATTTTATAAATTTTAAAACTATGGTACAGATTAGAGCGATATTTGACGAGTAATGGATAAAAATTAGTTATCTGATAATATATAAACGTAGATAATGAGTTTGCTTTACGTCAAAAGACCTACCTGTTCGTTTGTCGTTGCGGTTTTATATCCTTCATCCTGTCGCTGCTTTAATATTTCCTCATAACTCCTTCGTCCTGTCTTCAACTCCAAGTCCGACATAATCTGTTAATTATGAACGATTTGACATTGTTAATAAAGAAGTAATCTACCTCGCAAAACAAAACGTCTCGATAGTCCAAGTGTACAATTTATTTGGTAATTTTATCATAAAAAATATCCAAAAGAGAAAAAGAGATTCTTTAGAGGTTAAGAAATCTTTCTTTCTTCCTGTCTCTCTCTGTAACTATCCAGCTTAGAAAATTATATACTATACATTTTTACATGACATACCCTATTATACTCACATTTAAATTTATATATATTAGGTGTTATTGTATATACAATGTTAACTGGTATTACAGTTACAGTCATAACCTATTTATTTTATTAACACGACGGCACCGAATGACACCTGTGTACGAAACAGACCGAACGGACGGCTTTCCGCATAGCGTAGTGCGCGTAGTGCAATACTTATGCCGCTTTCAAAAGTCAAATTGCACCTTCAAGGCGTAGCTAACTATCGAAATTACACGTTCACGTTACACGGAATAATACAGAAACCATACATCTCCCTGTATCTTATCCTACGCGATTCCTACAGAGTGGATTGCCTTCCCTCCCTCCGCCGAAGAACATTTACTGAAATAAAGAGACGATCAATTTATTCCTCTCTTTTTTTTAGATCATTGTTCTACTCGCGTTGTAAAGAAAAAAAGTATGGTTCCATTCAATATAAAAAATTCAATTCATTCGCGATCAGGATTACTATAGGAATTGCGTTGTAGGCACAACGGAATGGAAAAATTCCTGAATTTTTTTTAATATGAAGGTCTTTCTGTTCTTTCGTTATTTCCTGTCTATCCGTGTCGCCGCTTTGCATTTTTTTCATCATTGTTTTTCTTTTTTTACAAGTGTTTCAACACCGGCATACATTTACATGCATTCTGCAGTTCCTGTACATTACGCGCGATTCTCGCTTAGTCCATTTTAGTCATGTTTACGGGGTTTACGGATCAATGAAGATCTACGTGGATGTACGTAACTACGATTTAAATTTAGGCTAGGAAGCAGAAAGCGACGCGCGTCTTCCGCTGTTCCGCTCCGCGACCAGTCGGCGTAGATTGGCGTACGTAGATTAGCGGTAAAATCGAGGAAAGAAAAGAACGTCGGGCCGCGGGCGAAGATGACGATGTCGTGCTCCCTCTCCCCTGTCAGTAAACAGAATTAAGTGAGTATGAATCATCAGGCAAAATGCGCACGCACTTGGCGTTTTCTACGCGTTAACAGAACACGATTTGCGTACTCCCACGCGTACATCGCGGCCGGAGGGGTTAGCGGGGTACGTTGGATTTTTTGGTTTTTTTTTCTTATGTGTGTGAACAGTGAAACTGTGTGAAACGCGTCCGCGGTCTTCGCGCGTCGCGCGTGTTGCGCAACGTGAGGTACGTCTCGCCGTCGTCGTTGCGCGTCCCGACTCCCGTTAGCGTCGCCGCGCGCGCGGAAACGGTGAGTTTTCTATAAATAGCGGTGTCACGCACAATTCGCCGTGGTGGGCCAACCCCGCCAACCCCGCCGGAGCGGGCCAGTCCTCGACGTTGATGGGAGATAGGTCGGTTCTTTCCTCCGAGAGCGTTGAGTTGCCGCGCGGATCGCAACGTGACCGAGCGGTCTCGAGCGACGTGATTCTCGTCAATTTTCGTCAATTCTCGTGGCCCGCGAAGTCGGCACCGCGTGCTCGTCCGCGGAGCTCTCGACGAGAAGTGCACGGCAAGGAGAGGATAGAAAAACAGGGATCTAGCAAAAAGGACCGCGGCCGTGTCCTTCGGGGAGAGGTGCTATTTTTAGGCGGTATATGCTCGGGCATATGTTCTCCCCAACGGCCCCTGCGATTCTTTCCTAAAAGCGAGCGATAACCTTTGATCGTCTGTACTGTTTGTCGGAAGGTCGTAGTATTAGTTATTAAGAGAAACGATTTCTCTACTACGACCCGGTGTTCTTGTTTGTTCTATAGAAGAATGGAGAGCGAGCAGCATCACTATGAGCTTCGCAGCAGAAGTAGATCACGTTCCCATACGCCTATGGTTCCAAATCGTCCTCAGCAGGAGCCAGAGGTGACAGAGCGTCATTATGATCTCAGAAACTGGAGCCGGGAGAGATCTCACACGCCTGGAGAAGTAACCAGTAGCAGAAGGTCTGGCTCTAGATCATTGTAAGTAATCAACCTAAACATAAAAGTCTTTGCTATTAATGATTATAAACAAGCTATACTTTTATCACTTGTATTTATATGACTATAGAACTGGCAGTGTAAAGACGCATGAAAAGAACATGGAAACCATAGAGGAGAATAAGGAGGGGTCTGTCACAGAAAGTCTGACGGATAATCAAAGCACAAAGTCCGAAGGTTCTGTCGTCACCATAAAAAAGGCAGAACGTCGGTCGGAACGTCAACGAGCAAAAAGGCAAATATTTGTCAATGGTCAGAGTGATAGTAAGGAGGACGCATCTGACAAGAAAGCAGAACGAAGACACAGAAGTGTTACACCACGCAGAGTATTTACCAGTGACTACTCTTCGGAAGAAGGAGAAAGGGAAGATCCTCCGAGTAGGCCAGGATCCGCCTACGAGATTTACAAGCAGGCTGGTGAATGGTGGAAGTACGAATATTTTAAGTTTGCAATTTTATAAGCACAATTTTAATCGTCAAAGAAGTGTTTCTTCTTTACATAATACATAAAATTTCCACAAAAATAGCTTTTGCCTAAAAACGGAACCTAATTCCGGATAGGAAAGATGGCATAATCCGATCTGAAATTAGGTTTCGTCAGGCAAAAGCTATTTTTGCCGAAATTTGAAATCTTAATTATTTTTGTGGAAATTTTATGTATTATGAGATTACTCACTTCTTACATTAGGCCTTTGGCCTGTGTTACACCTTTCTCATATGCTTGTGATGCACACACTGATTATTCAATAATTGCCACAAGCATGTGGGACCTATGGTTTTAATGCTGGTTCCGAACGGCGGATTTTTCGAGAGGTGTTTCTGTGGGCAAAGATACTCTCGGGAGATTGCCGGCCTTTTCCGAGAGGAGACACAAGCGTAAATTTTTGGTTCCTACTGGGATCGAACCCAGGATCTCTGGCATGATAGACCAGTGCGCTGTCTATCATGCCACACTCGCGCTTTTCTATTTTAAGTTTTATTCTGTATATACTGTATCCTGTTTTTAACGGCAACTTTTTAATTGGGATGTTAAATCATTGGTCGCATTCAGTACATAACTTATGTTCCGTGAGCGCTTGCTGCTATTGAACAATCTAGAAGGATACACAAATAGCAGCAAGCGCTCATGGATCTGCTCCGCAACAGTTGAGTTTACTGCATGCGACCATTGTGCCAATAACGAATTCCTCTTCCTGTGACTTACATTTGTTTGATTCAATGTTGTTTATTTTGAAGATATATTCCTTCTGTTGGAGAAACAAACGTTTATAAATAATAGCATGTCTTAATTAGCATTAGTCACAGAGTGTAGGTCAAGTTGCTGGTGCTAATAAATAGTATTGGAATTAAACGAACAATTTGCCTGTACCATTTATGCGAAAAATCAAATTATTTGTGAATGTTTTAGCGTTTTTCCAAAGACAGATTATACGTATTCGCCGACGTCGCAGTGTCGTTACGAGATCGCTCCAGGTATATTAGCTATGCCCAATATGTCGAGACGGCCTATACACGTAAACAATAACGGAAGTATCGTATCTCAAACAAGTCATCGAAATTTAAGTCAAGCTTCGCGAGGAACGACAGAAAGCGGAATCAGCGATATGGACACGGCTGATTTGAAAGAGAGAGAGACCGCCTCTCTAACTCATTCGGTAAGTATTTGTCATCTTGAACTATTTCTCTTATTTTTCTTAATGTATCATGACATTGCGTTTTAAAACTATACATGAATTTTGCAGTTCGGGGATAGTTACGACATGTCACGCGCGGGTATGTCGAATTCTACAGCAAAAACGACTTTGTACAAGAAGACACACGTAAAACAATATACAAGTCACAAAGAAATAATTTATTCGGATCCAAGATGTTCCTCAAATTTTCGGTCAAGGTATCTTTTATTTTTTCTCATTTACTAAAATAAAACTTTTGTTGAAATAAAATTAAGTTAAGGCAATCTTATATCAACAGCTACTTATCGTGGGCGAATACTCCAATTCGAAAGTATGATACATCTCATGTTGATTCTGATACCGATTTGGATGATACTTACGTAAAATCATCGATCAAAACTAATCAAAGTTGGAGGGTCGTGCAATGGTTCACATATTTTACAACCTTTATTGTCACTTGCTTCAGGAAAACTGTCGAATTCTTCAAGTTTAAAACGGACGGGAAAAGACAGTATTATGTTTCACAAGCTTATCGATCATCTAATGGTATTAATGATATTCAAGAAACATTATCTTTTATAAATATAGAAAAATTATATATAAATACAGTAAAAAATAATATTTAATAAAATTATATAAAAATATATAATTAAGCGTAACATAATAATTATCTTTTATGTTATGTTGCGTATTAATATTAAATATGTCTTAATTAATTTTCTTATGGTTCGCTGCTTTTAGAATCCAAATGGAGCTTATTGTGGCAAACTTTGGACCGTTATACGCACAATATGTACTTTTTCTTCGTCAGAATGCTTGTACTCGATACTTGGCTGTTGAGTCGATTCACTGGCGTTAGGAAATGGCTACAAGAGAAAGGCCCAAAGATTCTATGGATCACACTTTTACCATTACTTCTTTTGTTTGGTAAGTTTCTTCATCTTGTTGAAGGAATATAAAAGAAAATCAGAGACATCACTGAATTCCATTTTCATTAATCCACATGAAATCTAAACCAATCCAAACACCAATGTCAGACCAATGTCTTTCGTGGGACCTGAAAGATGCATAAACCTATCCTGGCCTTCGTATTTTTTTTGTTTCAGGGGCTTACATCGCGCAGAGGCATTATTTCACTTTTGCGGATTCTCTGCGCAATGTCCAATATGGTGTCATTGAGACGACTTATCACATCTTTAACAATATAAGCAACTTAATGTCTTTTACCTTTGAATCATTTACAAAATACCTTGCAGATCTTAAAAATTATTTCATGCACCTCTTACCGAGTGTGAACGTGTCTTTGCCTGAAATACCTCCTATTGGATGGAATATAAAGTGGTGATTAATTGAAAAGTTGTCAAGATAATATAATCCTAAATATAATAATTTAATTCAAATGGATGAAAGCGGTATAAATATCCGTATTTTTTTTATAAAATTATATATGATGAAAGCAAAATTCTATTATACTGCAATTTTGCAATTGATAGTATAACATTTTTTCAGATATTCTTAAAAATTTTCATATAATATTTTTAAGAATATGAATATCTCTTTCATCCATTTATTCCTCAAATTAATAATTGTGTGTGATTTAACATTGTTTTTATTTTTTCATTCTATAATAAAATCAATATATATCACCATTATTTGTTGCCACATTACTACAAAATTTTGATAATGCTATGAATAGAATGTCTACTTAATAATTCTCCTAATTGTTTAATATTTTGACATTTAATACTTTTGCGTATATATTTACCATATAATATATCGTATATTATTTCAAAAATTCTATGGCCGGTATTCATAATCCGTTCTTATTTCAAGATCATCTTAGGTAATCTTAAGCATCTTAAGATGCTAATACGACTCTAGCCGGTATTCATATTCGATTCTTATATATTTGAGACTGTCTTAAGTATAGTCTTAAAATGTCATAAGCCAAGATTGCATTAGCATTTTAAGACATGACTTAAGACGGAACGTTAAAGTAAGAACGGACCATGAATATCACCCTCTGATTGATTTGTGACATCTTAAGATTGTACTTAAGACGGTCTTGAATATAAGAATCGACTATGAATATCCTATGATTTACTTATTTAAATCAGATAATGAAATATTCTTTACGATATATACACATATTGTCTATCAGTACCTCTTTGCTTATTGTTTGATTTATTAGTAGATTAATATTTTATTGTGTGAAGATATATAAATATTTATCGATATATTTTACGCACAATTATACATATATTGTGTGTGTGATGTTCTATATATTTTACATATAATTATATATTGTGTTATATTTCAAGAACTAACTGGTCATGTACTGTGTTATATTTCATGAACTAACTGGTCATATCACTCTTAGTCATTTTTCTGTTACACATTATATATATTTTATTAAATATTTTATGTTCTACACAATATTTAATCCTATAGATATTATAAAATGCATAATATATAATTTAATCGTTATTAAATGAAATAACATTTTTTTCAGTTAACCACCACACATGTATTGTTTTCATTTTTACACGCTTCAAAGATATAACAATATTTTGATGTAATAGTTATATTACTGTCGTTAGATAATATCTATATTGTAAAAACACGTTCATACTTAATAAAATATTTTTTATGTATATGAAATTAGTAGTCTTTTGAATACAGTCCATTAGAGTGATATAGCGTCATAGTGTCACAATTGAGCATTTAACGAACCTAATCTAAAAAGCGAAAAATAAAAATTTTATTGTGGGAGAAGGATAGGGGGAGGATTACTCTACTGTGGGCGTTAAAAAGTCGGAGCATGTTGTGCTTGAAATACTTGGAATCGTGATCGCGATCGGTATCATCTGAACGGTGAGTTTCTTCGTCTATCCTTCTCTCAGTTACCATATTGTAATAATAGTTCCACTTTGAACAATTACATCATTGTAATCGTTCTGTGCCATTAAAATTTAAGATGTATTTGAGATCTCTGTGATTGTAAATTTAATAATTGGACAGATTTGTGGCACTAACTTTGTGTTGGAACGCTGTAACAAGTTCAATACAGTAACAGGAGAAGGAGATTGCAATAATCGCATTTGAATTGTGAAATGTTTATAGATATGAAATTTGTTTCAGGTGGTTGGTGTATAGTACAATGTTTGTCGCTTCTCTCTGACGCTACAACTGTGACTGAAACAGCAGTAGAAAAATCATTAAATAATGTACAATGGGAGGACCGTCGAAATAAAATTATTGAAAAAATATTGACTGACAATGAAACAATTGAAGAAAATTTTGTTAACAAAGCTGATTTAGTCAACAGGATAGAAATGCTTGAGAATAGACAGACGCATCAAATGGTATAAATATACAATTTTTTTGTGCAGTTATATATATTTTGTGTTCCATGACCTACTTATATCATTTTGTAGGACTATCTTATTAATATTACTCGAACTGTAGAAGATCGTAAGCAAAGCGATGCCGCTTTCCGGAAGGAGTATGCTGTAAGTCTATGAATTTCTATTATTTTTTTCTTACGTTAGGTCTCTGGCCTGTGTTACACCTCTCTCATATGCTTGTGGTATGAATTCAATTGCCACAAGTATATGGGACTTATAGTTTTAATACTGATTTAGAACGGCGAATTTTTCAAGAGGTGTTTCTATATGGCAAGAATACTCTCGGAAAATTGCCGGCCTTTTCCGAGAGGAGACACGAGCGTAAACATTTTGGTTTCTACTGGGATCGAACCCGGGATCTCTGGCACGATAGACCAATGTGCTGTCTGCCATGCCACACTTGCACTTATATATTATTAAAAATTAATAATTACGAAGATCTCGAGTTCTACAGTAGTTATCTTTCCAGGACAAAATTATTAATGTGGAAAATAAACTAGGTGTCAGCGAATTAAAAGATATAGCATACAGCGAACTTGAAGTTATTAAAGACGAATTAGAAGAATTACGCAAATTGTACTCAGAATTAAAATCTTGTTGTAACGCCAATGCAAAATCCATAAATCAGGATATAGAAAAGCACGTAGAAAAAATTTTACTTAGCTACTTTCCTTCCGGAATTTCGAAAGAAGATCTCGGGCAAAACTTGCAGAGTTTACTTGCATCTCATAACAGAGAAGGTTTGAAGATATATTAAAAATCTATTTGGATGTTACGTCATATATTAAGTAATGAATATCGAGAATATATTACAAATATTTTTATAGCTCAAAAAGTTCTTGATAATGCAAATGTTCATACTTCGGACGAGCATGTACGCAAGATAGTAAAGGAAGTTTTGCGAATTTATGACGCGGATAAAACGGGTCAAGTAGATTATGCTTTGGAAACGGCAGGTATTGTATCGTGTCAATAAATCATTAATAACTGATGAATAGAATATTATAATAAACAGCTTTGTTCACCGTACAGGCGGTCAGATTATTAGCACGCGATGCACTCAGCGATATGATATAAAGTCGAGAGCCTTCAGTTTGTTCGGTTTCACATTATATTACGAGAGCAATAATCCGCGGACAGTAATACAGGGAAATCCGATACAACCTGGCGTTTGTTGGGCCTTCCAAGATTTTCCCGGATTCCTCCTGATACAATTGCGAAGTTTCATTTATGTAACTGGTTTCACTCTGGAGCATGTGCCTAAATTGATTTTACCAAATGAAAACATGTCGAGTGCGCCCAGAAAATTCAACGTCTGGGTATGTGAACTATTTAATTTCTTTCATTTATTAAACATAATATTTTTTAAATATTCTTATTGCTGTAGGGATTATTGAATGAAAACGATCTTGAGCCAGTGATGTTCGGGGAGTACGAATTCACGTATTCCGATGAAAGTTTGCAATATTTTCCAGTTCAGGTAAATTTATTTTTAATATTCTTTAATAAATTTATTTTTCTTTATACATATAAGTTGCCTTATTTGTGTTTTATTTTTATACATGTTTTTATTTTATTGATTAGATTTATTAGGACTACACACAGTAATCCTTAATTTTTTTTACGCAGAACACAGAGATCAATAAACCATACGAATACATAGAATTGAGGATACAGACCAATCACGGGCAACTAGACTACACGTGTTTATACAGATTCCGCGTTCACGGAAGACTAGCTTAGGAATTGATCGCGCCAAGGTTCCTTTTCACAAGACATTCGTAAAATCGTTCAAGCAGTAGTAAGAACGAGCCACAATCTTCTCCAATACGTGCCTTCGATTACCGTTAACGATAAACGTAAAAATTGGCGCGATTTGCCGCAGCACCTGTAACTATAATTGTTAATAGAGCGATTATTTAACGCTTTTGTAATAGATTTTCAACGAAACGATCTCGAAACACTTTATACATACGCGCCGATATTTAATACACACGAGACGGAAACCGTTTCCGTCACCATTTAAACGCGTTGAACGCTGTATATACATTTAATAATTTAACCGATTAAGAAGATTGCACGATTGATCGGATCAAGCAGGAAAACTCACGGGTATCGGCCCGATAGTGTTCCACAGTTATGCCTATATATAAATATCTTCACTATATGGCCTTGCTGTAGCAGTTACCCGAGTAATGTACTCTGAAAGAAAAAGAAGCAATTTCGTATACATCTTCTCTTTAACAACGTGAGAGATCGATAAAAAGTTAGAAGCTAAAAAGAATGGACAGAAGTAACTAAGGGAATCTCGGAAGTTCTCTTCAAAAAGAGAGAGTTTTTGCCTGTGTATGCGTCATGTAAATAACAGATTTGGTAGCATCACGTGCAAGACTGACACTTCAAAAGTTACCCCAAAGCTGAGTGTGAGTCATAATATTCGCAATAACGCGACAGTACAAATTGTAAGGGATAGTAAGAGCAATTATTTCTAATTAAGTTAATTACTAAGTTTTAAGTGTGCAACACCATGAGTGGTCTTCGCCATCTTTGTAAGGATTTAGTGATTAAAACGCGGCAGTTAACACACATTGTATACATATAATAGATATTTATAAGATATTCAAATAAGTTCTCAATTCTTTTTTTTTATTTCAAGATTGCGATGCGCATCGTTTTTGCTTCGTAATTATTTAGTGTCGTTGGCGATGGGTCGATCCTTGCCAATGTCGAAAATGCGATTATCACCGCGTTTTTTTTTTTTACCATCTTTCCGTACGCGCTAGCCGCTATATTTAAATAAAATTTCCAAATAAAAATTGCGTTTTACTCGACACGATTCAGTTTTATTCACCTGAGAGCCGATTGCGATCGAACGCCGAATAGTTTAATTAACTTACCAGGCGATACTTTTGGTACTCAACAATCATAAATAGAACTAAATTTTGTAGTTTAATATGTAGAAATAAAGATTAAAAGATAACTTGCCTAGTTGAACGTTTCGCAATAAACAGTTCTACTGAGCTAATCGTTGATTAAGTTAATTAATGATTGATTTAATCAAATACAAGTTCTACATAATTTTTATTTTAGTATAGATATAAAATAATTGTCATTTAATAAAACACGAAAAAAGGATTAGATCGGAAGCAACGATTTATAACTAGAAATTATGCAATGAGTAATTCAACCGGTCGAGTTAATTGCTGATTAATGCCCATTTCCACCAATGTAGATTAACTTTAATCTCGGTTCTACTTACTCTTCGTCTTTTTCTAATCTTTAGAACTAGAAAAAGACAAAGAGTAAGTTGAACCGAGATTAAAGTTAATCTGCGTTGGTAGAAACGGGCCTAAGTCAATTGGAATTTGATCGAAGTCTGAGAATTCAATCGTCATTCCGGTATGAGATCACATCTGTTGTTGATTTTCAATGAGGCACGTTTCCGCACGAACGTGGTATAAGGACGAGCCTTGCATCGATCGCGGAACATCCATTGTCGCGCAAGGCGCGTTTTCCCGCGTCGATTCGCGCGACACCGGAAATCTGGACCGGTTGGGAGTGTTGGGACTCCAATTTCAAAATCTTTTCGTCTTGAGACGTTGTCCGACGCTTTTGCGATCGGCGTTCCCACGCGGGGTGCCACGAGGAACCCCCGGGAGGGGGGGGG